CTTAGCCAGGACATATGCGCAGATGGTTCCTCAAATCAGGAATTCACTTCTTCAACTGTCTAACAGAGCCTGAATCCTGGTATTCAAATTACTGTACCACACAACCGTATGGCAGGAGGAGCTTCTCAATTTCCAAAGTTTGCATAGGCTGCTTTGAGTTTGTGTAAATGAGGACGGCACAGGACTGTTAGAAACAAAGCCTTTTGTAAGGGCTTACTAAGGTCATGATCACTGGGTACTGATGGTGTGCAGCTCCTTTTCAAAATATCTCCTACTCTACAAGTGACTTAAGGCCCATGCACTTTCTCTGTGTGCAGCAGGGATTATTGCCACCAAGAGACATCTTCAATTTCCCATTCACAGAAGCAGTATGAAGATGCTGTGGCTCAAGTCAGAACCCTGCCCTACGTCTCGTGATCTTCCAAACATAATTGGCAGGAATTTGTATTTAGTAAAAAACACAATACGAGTATTTATATGTAAGGATAAACATGACCTAGACAGCACTTTCCAAGAGACTCCATTATGGTTTAAATATACGTCAGTAAAGAATCTGATCAACCGGTTATCATATCTTCTGATGAAGATGACTGTGTCTATATCTATTTATATATACAAATATAGATGAATACGGAGGAATAGGAGAAATACATATATTCGTACAGAGAGAGAGAGAGATCAGGTCTAAATACATTAAGGATGGCTTACTACACTCTTCAAGGTAATAAGATTATTTTTTCAAGGGAGATTTTGTATTTCTTTAAAAATTGAAAATTATCTAGGTATTATTTTCTAGACATATGTAATAGTTATATATACCTTAGAATAGGTGGCAGGACTGTAAGGTCTCTGGTGAAAGGCTAAGTAATCCAAAATCTTCTAATTAGGGTGCCAAATGTTAAGTACATAAGTATGTTGTCTTACAAAGATGCTGCCGCGTTGCATTATCATTCATTTCTAGAAAAATCCAAAAGCCTTCCAAACAGCAATCCGGCAGTCTGAGAAGCTTTCTTGCTGCAGTAGACAATATTAGATAAACAAGAGCCAGAGCTCAAGGAAAGAGGATGAAGTAATAATAAAAAGATTTTTAATTTGCCAAGTGAGGACTAATGAATGACATTGTGCTAAAGATCAAGTCTAGCCATTTTTTACTAAAATAACATCTTAGTTGAACAGCTTCATGCAGGCATCACAGCAGGAGTGAAAAATCACCTCAGGCACAGAGATAATCTGAAAATAACAGAGAGTATTTAAGCTGATCCCAGCTGAAGAGTAGAGAAGTCCATGAATAGAGTTAGAAAAACCAAATGTGGATAAAAACAAGGCTGGGGCAAGATTCTATCATGAAACGCGTGATTAAAGCAAAGTACCATCAAGTCCGTGTTCCACAGAGGACTTCACGCATTTTACATTTTGGATGTTTGTGCTACGGCAACTGCTACTAGGTCCTAAATTGCACGGTTTCGGTCCCGCATTGATCTGTAGGCTCAGAGTACTCTTCTTATTCAAAATCTCAGAAGGCCTGTTGTACCATTCCAACATCACTTACATAAACTAGACAACACCAGTAAGGTGCTTCTCTGGACCATGCCACCATGTAGTTCTGTTTTCCTTAATGCTTTATTTACAATTGTTCGTATTACTTCAAGGCTAGAAGAGATATTGAATAGATTACGGAATTATTGGCTGGCTTTGTCTTGGCATTTCCTAATTATATTTGCTATTCTCGCTCTTACCTTGAAAAAAAATCCTCAGTACATTCAAGTTTCCAAAATCCCAAGTAAGCAAGGTAAGAAATAAGACGAAACATCTCTCTGTAGCGTTAACATTATTCCTTTCTTTAGAGAGATTTTCTGGAATAGTAGAATTTACTCCATTAACACAACAGCGTCTGGAGCACCAGCAAGCTTTCAGATTAGAAAGCAATGTGTAATTTAAAAGAATTAATGATTCCTTGTTGAATGGTTCTTCAGACTGGTCAGCTCCATGCTGCCTGGCAAGTTATAGTTGACACTGCAGTTTTTACTTCCTCTGGTTTAACTTGTTCCTTAGTGGAAATCTTAAAGCCCATATAAAACATATTTGGTCTCATTTCCTTGAGTTTTCAGTAAAATGTTTTCAATTCTACAAAGCATGAGAAATAAGGTCTGCCAGAGTAATTCTGTGGACTTGCACTACAAATATAAGGAGCTGACACAGTGTTTCCTATGGATATCATTCCGGACTGTTTTGGATTTTTTTACACATATATTCATTGGAAAAGAAAGTTCTTGCATAAAGGAAGATGTAATAACATTTGCAAGGGTTGAACAAAATCTAGAAAAATTATGTCACTTTTTAAGTTTTTGGAACATGTTAGCAGAGATATGCTATTTCTAAACATAATTGGTTAAGAAGTCCAGTCTTAAAAAAAAAAGGCAAAGGGAATTGTGTTCAATTAGATATGAAACACTTCCACTTGGAGTGCCTTCAGTTTATGTAGCAAATGCTCTGTGACAGGACACTGCTGTTGCTCTATGGAAATGGATTGTCCTCTGAAGTGTATCTTGGAGATGACAGAGAATTCAAAGTAAGGTTTTATCGCTGCTGAATAGACCAAGACCTTTACAAGTTAGTTTTAAAAGCTCTTATGCATTGCATTTTGAACACAAAATACTTTTGTTTTCAAATAATGCATAAAATAGCGTAAAAATATTATTGTAATAGCTTACTGTATAAAACACTCTCCTAGCTTTAAGGGAAAAATCCAGACAAGTCTCCACACAGGCCAGATGATCACCACCAAGCTTTACGGGAAAAGCACACCAAAACAATGTATGTGGAAACAGCCTATAAAATTGAAGGCCTGAGGCTACTCTCTCTATATACACGTAGAAGTACACTCATATGTTGTGCACACCACAATTTGGCTTGGTTTACACACTCTGTTATGGAGCAAGGACAATGCACGAAGTCTTCACAGCATGCCTTGGTCCAGGTCATTTGGATTTATGTTTGTTTCCTCAGCACAGGTGCTGAGTTTTGGATTTGACTCTAATAATTTAAGAAAGTGCTGGCTTGTGTACTTACTTCTTATAGTTTCTGTTCTTTTCAATAAAAGATCCTACAAAGCAAGAGTGCTAGAACTATCAAATCAGTTGGGCAAAAAGACTTGTCAAAGTACAGGACAAAAAACATGGTTAAAGTAGTCATCTAAGATCTGATATATCTGGTCAGCTACTCCAAAAGAGCCTAAAGCAGTTACATCTTCAGAAAACAAAGCAATAACAGAAAGGAAACATTTGATTTTTTAATTTCAATTCTAAGCTAATCTTTTGTACTTTTTTTGTTGTCATCTATGTTTGGGTTTATATTTCATCTCTTCTGGTATTTTTTTGTCTCATTAAAGTAATATAATAATACTGAGCGTAAAACCAGCCTTCTCCATAAAACTGTTTGCATGAAACTGCTGCTCAGCATAACCTCTACCATAGTATAACAGGAGAAAAATAATATTTTGAAATACCAATGCTATTTAATAGCATATATGACGGTGAATGAATGAAAAATTTAATTCTTGGAATTGACAAAATAATAACTTCTCAAGAAGTTAATGCATGATTCAGAGAGATGAAGAATGAGTCACACTAATTTTATGGCTTCAGCTTTATAGTGTTTCTGATCAGTGGTGTTTTTTTGGTTGGTTTTTTTTTTTCAAATATATGAAAGACATACACGTATAATACAAACTTATTTGTGAATTAAAGGGATAATCAGACTGTAGTTATTAAAATTGGTTGCTCATAATCGTATCTCTTTGTAAACCACACATGTATAATTTGGTTTTTAAGTTTTTGGTTTAATTATTACATAATATAATTAAATTAAAACCAGTTAATTCCTGGGATACTGACATTCACATTGAAAAAAACAATGTAACAAAGAAGCACCAGCCAAAAAATGATCTCTGAAGTTTCTTCTGTGACCAGGTTCAAAGGGATTATTCTGGGGGAAATTAAAATTTAAATTATGCCTGACAACAGAGAACTCGCTGTTAACTGAAGGTACTGATCTAAACAGAACACACATTAGCCACAGAGTCTCTTTGATAATACTGGAAAACTATCTCACTCTAAATTTGCAAATCCTGTTCTGTTTCAGTTTGAGACTTCTCTGGACCTCATATCGCTGAACTGCAATGAAGTCTTTTGTGGCCTGGGGTTCTGTATTTCTTTTACAATCAAGATTTCCCAGGAGTGCTGTAATCTGAAGTAAAGACAAGAACTAGGCTTTTCTAGTTTAGAAAAAAACACATCAAAAATGGAAGCTTTGCTGTATTCCTGAATCTACATGGAATTTACTTAATAGTTAGAGGGGGAAAAATCCCGGAAAAAGAACCACAAAACTATCAAACAGGAATGATGTGTTGTGCACATCAGAGTAACATATAAACTGACTTTTTTTGGCACTTAGGAAATGTGGGTTCAAATCTTTTTAGAGGAGGTAATACAACATAAGATCTGCAGGCAAATAAAAAATTAATTATTGACACAGGCTAGCCCTGAAGAATAGTTGAGAACATGAATAATTTAGAACGTACATCTGAAAGCATGCATTATTTGAGAGCAGAGCTGAGAGCATGCTGACAGGGACAACATGGTGACTGGCGGTTTGCCGGACCACCGCCACCAGGAGAACGATGCCAGGCATTGGCAAGTTATGAGGAATGACTTGGGTAGAAAGAAGCCTGCTGTGCAAGGGAGCGTGCTCTTGAAATCTTAAAGTGCAAGTTACCTCAGTAAACCTGCAGGACTGTTTACTTTCCCATTGTGGAAAACCCACCTGTTCTTGAGCTATACCAGTGCTGGAGAAGTACGCATGTGTTTGCCACTGGTATATCTGGTAAATCAGTTTGATATATATGCCCCAGGCACAGAATAGGAAAACTCTAGCTATTGTATGGAAATTCTGTGTTGGGTTTTGAACATATTATTCTATGTCTGTATGCTTTTATTTTACAGGAGACTATGTAGTCATGTCTGTTTACTTCAACCTGAGCAGGAGAATGGGTTATTTCACTATTCAGACCTACATTCCCTGCACACTTATTGTTGTGTTGTCCTGGGTCTCTTTCTGGATTAATAAGGATGCAGTTCCAGCCAGAACATCACTGGGTGAGTTGTTTTTTATTCTCACTTTTATTCAAGTGTTACGATGTTTAATTGACACCTCTGCACATCACCAGTTTGTCAATGTAAGAGGAGAGACAATTTCACGCAAGTTCTCCTTCTTTAGGGGGATGTAGTGATTTCCAAGGAATAACACAGTCTAAACCATAATTGGCTCTCTTCCTTTTTACTGTGTCAGATCTTAACTCTGAGTATTGCAGATTGCCTACAATATAAACTTTTGCATCTTTTCTGATGACAGCAGTATTTTTTATAAACACCAAGAGGATGGGGAACATTGCTTGATTAGAGGCAGAGACACAACAGTTCTATTTGCTCTACTTGCACATCACGGCAAGTAGCCATACAAATGAACTAAATACCAAGAAGAAATCAATCTTTCTGGCTGTGTGCTGCAGTGGTAAAAGGGGAGAATGTAGTACCCTGACTTCTGCTTTAGGGACCAACAATCAAATGTAGCCTTTGAGCCACAAAATCAGCCGAATTTGGTGGTGTCTAAAATCCTACGCATGAAAGCGTGACATGTTATTATTCAGAATTGGCAATTTCTACACACTTAGAAACTGTGCCACAAGTAAACTGAGAGCAACCAAATTAGCCTTGCTCGTGCAAAGTAGCTGTAGCTTTAAGAATCAGCAAAGTAGAAACATTCAACTAAAGTTAAACATTTGCTACTGCTGCATTAAATCCATGCAAATGAGAAACATTTTAGTTTTTCCTTCTACATTTTCATTTCTTCACAGAACTACAGCACAGAGCCCTGGAGTGCAAAATGAGGGACAGAAAGAAACACAGGAACAGACCAGGGGCTTCCATGAGAGACAGTTCTAAGAATTTCATTGTCTTTTTCATGTCCTCTCTAAAAAGAGGTTATAAAATATACTTTAAAGAAGTATAAAATTAATAAAAGTATTCGGCTGTTATTTTAAATTTTACTTAGATATACAAAACAGACCGGCTCCCTCTCTTGAGAATTAGTCTAGGTGTACCACTGAGGAGGTAAAATCAGAGGTATGAAACTTGCCACATAAAATGTGATGGATTTTAACTATTCTGATGCATCTTTCAAGTTCTTCACATCATAGTACAGGGAATAATGTTCAGAAGGGATGGTGAGGTATGTCATGGTACTTCTCAGTTATAGAATCCAGTCACTTGTGAAGGCCAGAGAGAAATCTGACCTCATAGCGTTACAAATTATAAGGAGCCCTGAGAGACTCTCCCTTCCAGCTTGATATGCAAGAAATCACTTAAATAACAAGCAGCAGATGATTTTTGTGGGGCTGGCATCTTTTGCGTACAAGTAGAACCCATTTAGGCAAGAGAAAGGAAACAGTTTCTCCCTTTATGTAGCACACATACAAATCTACACACATTTTGTCCTGCAGTTTCTGCTGGATTACATGCTTTCTCAAGCATTTTCATTAATTTCTACCTCTACCTAAGAGCATCTCTTACTGACACTGGCATGATTACTCTGCAACTAAAAATAAGGAAAACTTATCCCAACAGCACAAAAAGTTTGAGATTGGTCTTGAGGTTACTTTGAAGAGTGGAGTAAAGTGATTTTTATTCTCCACCATGATTTTCTCACTCTGACACAAGTTCTCTCTAGCTCTGTTTAAGAGTTCGAGAACACAAACTATAAAACTAATTTTCTCAATTAAAAGGAATTTCTAAATTTCTCAATTTAATTTCTAAATTAAATGAAGGCCCTTTAGAAGTATGCTACAAAACTAAAAAACTAAATTAAATTTCTTAGAACCAGAATCCATCTAACCAACATATTCCAGAGAGCAGCACTTGCAGTGACCATGCAAAAATCTTTCAGACCTCGTGTTATCCTCAAAGCTCTCCTTGAATTCATATTTTACCACTGGCATGTGCCGTTTAGTATCTTTGCTATATGTTTGAACTCCGGGTATACTTCAAAACCTCCAGGTATACTTGAAAACCAGTCAGAGAGATAACTGGCAAAATCAGCTTGTTACTTAAAGTAATAATATTTCTGTTATGTTCTATCTATCTACCAGGTATTACAACTGTCCTGACAATGACCACCCTAAGTACAATTGCTCGTAAATCTCTTCCCAAAGTCTCCTATGTGACAGCAATGGATCTTTTTGTGTCAGTCTGCTTTATTTTTGTTTTCTCTGCACTGGTGGAATATGGAACTTTGCACTACTTTGTGAGCAACAGAAAGCCAAGCAAGGATAAAGACAAAAAGAAGAAGAATCCAGTATGTATCTTCTTACCAGCAAGGTCTAAAATTCAATTAGGTTTTCTGAGAGAGCATTTAAATCTGTCCTTACGCTTGCACTTTCTTTTCAGGCCTTACTATTACATAGATACTCTTCCTTTGTATTAACAGGAATGCAAACATTCACCTTGAGATTGAAAAGCTCATATATTATGATTGTTTGGATGCCAGGGAAACTAATTTCTTTGAGTAAGGATCCTTTTAACCAGAGCGTTCTGCAAATCACAAATATCACCAAACCCATGCTATACATTACAGACGGAGCTCTTGCTGTGACCTGTATGGAAGAATTGTCAGTTTCTCCATCTTATTATCTCCATTAACTTCTGTCTGTATTATTGACATGAGTCTGTTTTTCTTATCAGGACTACAGTTAAACATTTATATTCCAACTACAGAGTGTGGTTTTTCTGATTTCCCCTTAAGCATCTGTTTCCTTTTCATTGTTTCCTTTTCTTCTTTTTCTTGTATTTCCTACCTCCTTTATCTACTTCTCTCCCTTAGAAAGTGATTTGCCTAGCAGTTTACAATGTTACTTATGCTACACAATAACAAAAAGTTGTGTATAATAGTCACAAAAATACCCTCAGAAGGAGTTTGGGGCTTTGCCCAGAGAGGAAAAAAAGTATGCTGCTTTTTTTGTCCAGAATAGATTTCTCCTTACCTTTTGCAACCGAGCTGATAAGTTTATTGTCTAGCATCTCTGAGGTGAAAAGAATTAGTATAAAAACCTAGAGGAAAAAGTAGCCTAATCATCTACACAAAAAAAACCAAATATGCCTGTTAAAAATGTGAAGAACAAGTGTTTTACATTAATAGAGAGTATTTTTAAATCTATTTCTGGCATCTAGTAAAAAGTGAATTCACCTGGATTTGCTCTTCTAAAATCTTCAAGGACTTTTGAAGATATTCTTTTAGTTATACAACACAAAACGATTATATAAAAACTAGTAATTAAAGAATCTTCTATTACACATTATTGCTCTAATTTCATCTTTAAAAGCTGTTGGGAAGTAGACTCTAAAAAAAAAAAATAGATGTACTCTATAGTGGATAAACAGCTGGAAAAACATCTATAAGACTACAGAGGAAGAATTCTCACCCAACTTTAGGTATGCTAAAGTTGGATTTGGTCATAGGCCTCTATTTCAGTCACAAGAAAGAGGCACTTCCGGAGGGTGACTTGTCCCGGCCTGTCTTAGTCTGAAATAAAAGGCTGTCCATGGACATGAGTGTCTTTCACAGTCAATTAAAGGAGCAAAGATTAACGACCTCAAATCTGATGTCCATATAAGGGCAGATGACTTGTTCTTTACATTACTCATGTGTGAGCATTTGGGGACAAACAGAACTATAACTGATTGCCTGGATCCTAATCACAGAGTCTAGAAAACTTACAAGTAGAGTGCTCAGGACCCAACCTGCAGGTAAAGTTTTTTTTCTAAAATGTGTTTTTATAAACTGTGAACAATCTCTTTCAAAACAGTTCAACATAAAAGATTGGAATCCCCTGGGAATATGAAAAGATCTAAATGGAGTCTGATATCTTATGTCTTTGGCCCGGATGTAGTTATGAGACAGTGAGAAGTCAAAAATGTGGGGGTTTTATATTACAGATACTTGTTTCAATTGCTATTATCCCAAACTTTCTATAAATTTAGTTCTTTTTGACTTACTATGTTTTAGAAACATTTTTAATTTACATTATTTTTTTCTCTTTCTTTCCTTTCTTTCTTTAATTTAAAACAAAACTCTGATTCTCTTTTCTGTCTACAAAATGAAAGCTTCTTCGGATGTTTTCCTTCAAGGTATAATGTTTTTTGGAATAGAAATTCACTGCATGCGACTGCTGAATTTAACTATTAGAGCTTATATGAGAGTGGTGTTTTGTTGTGGGTTTTTTTTAATGAGACATCTAAGCATTCTACTCAAGGTAACTCCCTAACCAAGTAGAATGGTTACACATTTCTAAACAATTTGTAGAGTTGATTCAGCAGCCCAAATACCGATTCACTATGGTTCTGAACTTGCTTAAGTTCAAGAGTGACCTACGTTATTGGATCACATGAATTAAGAGAGTTTAATGTTAAAACATTTCTGCTCCTCTCTTTCTCAATTTGCCATGGGATCCAATAGCACCAGCTACACCAGAAACCTGCAATACACCCTTTTAGAACTCAACTCTGACCTCACCTTTTTAGCCTTTGTGATTTCACCCCAAATTATGAAACCAAATCTGTTCTGATGTTGACCTGAACAAAATTCAATGTCATCATCAATTACTCAAATGCTGTTCCTTATGCAAAAAAGTCAGAGTTTTGAAAGGGTTTAAGATGCATATATATTTTTAATGCTGTCACTGTATCAACACACTCTTAGCAAATTAGCAAATATATCCAGCTATGTTCCACATCTAAACCTTATCTTCATTCAGAAATGCAGAGATTTCATCAAAATACATATTTCTGAAATAGAGTTGTTATTTTACCCTAATAACTATTAGCAGGAAATTTCGATGCCTGTCATCCTAGTGTTCACCAAGTGCTCAAATGTGTTTTAAATGCTTAATTTGCTCAATTCATTCCAAATATACATGTGTGCATATATATGTACAGCCACTCTATAAAATTTGGAACATGTTGAACCGTCTAGTTGGTGAACATTAGCACATGGTGGACTGCATATATTCAAACAATTGGAGAGTCTTCTTAAAGATTCTCCTAACCTTATTCAAAAGACCCAGTTTTTGCCTTTTTTTCTGTGTATATATTTGCTCCTATTTCCACACAAACGAGCCCTATACTAAAATCCTGCATTTACAATTGATTATTTCAGTTCCCTCCATGAGCAATACACAAATTGTCTTCAGATACCAAGCAGCTATGTAAAATATAAAACACAAGAAATTCAAAATACTGTCAACTATATGCCTGAATGTTTCCTTTAACCTCTAACATTTACTTAGTTTAGCTTTAAAGCTAATTGTCTGCAGCTGTTAACTTTATATTTGTGCTGCTTTTCTGTAAAGTTGAAGAGTATGATGCAACTGATTTTAATAAGTTCAAGCTAACATTACCATTAGAACTCCTTGGCAATTTCCCATGTGCCCCATGCAGAACCATCGTTCACATGTTGACCATTAGTCTTTGTCTCCCTGCTGGTCTGGTAATAATAACAGTCTCTCCCTCCTGCCATCTTTTTCTTTTTCTGCCACTCCACCTTAGGCACCTACAATTGACATCCGGCCACGATCAGCTACTATTCAAATGAACAATGCTACACACCTCCAAGAAAGGGATGAAGAATATGGGTATGAGTGTCTTGATGGCAAGGACTGTGCCAGTTTTTTTTGCTGCTTTGAGGATTGTCGAACGGGAGCATGGAGACATGGAAGAATACATATCCGCATTGCCAAAATGGACTCCTATGCCCGCATCTTCTTCCCAACTGCCTTCTGTTTGTTTAACCTGGTGTATTGGGTATCGTATCTTTACCTTTAAAAGCAGAGGGAAATCAGTGATATGAGCCTTACTCACTGAATTTCTTAGAGATATGGTTTCCTACGTCCACTTGAAGTATTTACGATGCGCTTTATAGTGGTCTGAATTCTTTAGTGCCATAACCCAGTAAACATCAATCATATCATTCGTCCAAAAATTGCCATAAGGTTATAGTGAATTAAATGTCTGTTCAACATGCCGAAATAATTTGAAATAAAAATCATAAAACAGGTAATACACAGCTATACCTGCTGGAATAGAGAGAAACAGAGCAGACAGGGCAAGAGGAGCACGGCAACATCACTTAATAGTTGGTACTGCTATTTCAAACAGGAGAGAGAGAGAGAAGGATTCCCAAGTAAAGTGCTGTACAGTTTGTTAACATTGGCTATAATTATGCTATAGCTTTATTCTCTGTGGGCTTTTCTTTTTGGAAGAGTCATCTCTCACTTTGAATAGGTATTATTAAGCTAGGAAAGTAACTTCTACTCCCACCAAGATAAAAATAGACCTTTCCCTTTGCCATCCCTTTAAGAGCACATGTACAATGCTGTAAATATTTCAATACCTTGTAGTACAGAAATTCTAGTGCATGCATCTTTGGGGGGCCAAAATAAATGAAACAAAGGTACCATGAAGTTTCGTCTTTTATTTTGTGTCTCTGGATGTGCTATCGTAATTGAAATGTGGAGAAATATTTCTTTTTCCTTGAAAAATTACCCCTTTCCCTCATGCATGGAAGATCCAAGCAGACAGCACTTTCACGTAAGCCATTAGAGAAGCCTTAAGGATTCAAATAAATAACATGTAGACAAATCTGTATGGCCAATATAATAGCTCATAAAGTATACTGTATGTGTCTGCTGCAGTTGTAGCCTTCATTTGCCATTGATAATGTTGCTATATTTCAACTGAATTTCCAGTGATTATACATTGCAAGATCTACTTCCAAATTTAATCCATGTGCTTCTATTGTTCTTTTCCCATGTTGACCTCTGCTTTTTTCCTTACAGAAGTGTTAGTGTTTGGTTTTTTTCGTTATTCAATCCAGTCCAGCAAAATAGTTTTTATTCTAGGAATTATTTTTACGTAAGAGCTTCCAGTTAATTTCGAAACATTAGATTTTGTATTATACACACACACAATTCTCTGCCCATCCGTGCCCTTGATGAGCGATAGTTGTTGTCAGTGCTGCTTTTCACTCGGTGAGTACCTTTACTAAAATAAACCTTTACCATGGCTAGCACACAGTTTATAGATAGCCTTGAAAATAAAAGGGAACAAAGGGTGTCTTGGCTACTAACCCACATGTATGCAGTTTATGTGTATTTAAAACCTTCAACCCACCCGGGTCAATCTTGAAAACCTTTTATCCACTGGTTTTCAGAACCTGTATGATGCTCGATTATGCAACCTTAAGCACATGTAAATATGACCGACATTTTTTTTTAATTTGTCAAAGCTGTAAAACGTCACCTCCAGGAAAGTAGGCTTGCAGACTGAATAGGGAGATACATAACTTATCATTATAGAATTATTAAGAGCTAAAATGGAGGAAAAGTAAAGTTTTCCAATGTCTGTATAGTTTTGGAAATAAAAATGTATAAAAAGGAATAACTCTTGATCATCAATTGCTCCTTGTCCAATGTATTTGAAACATTTTAATAAAGGAATTGCACACACATGTGGACTTTTTCAATAAAACTGCTGCACTCAATTCCAGTTTTCTTGTGATTAGTTTGTTAAAAGCATGCTTCAAGGACTAGACTGCTTGACTATTTTAATTCATCAGCTGCCTAAATATAAGTGAATATAATTCCCAACCATCTGCATTGTCTCATTTTGTAGTTAAATGGCTCACCCACATAACTTTCAAGGATAGAGATTAAATCTTTAAAAACATTTTGAAGATTATCTTACTTTAAAAAAAAAAGAAAAGAAAAAAAATCACTGAGTTGGAAGTATCCTATGGAAGAGAGATAACCTTTATCGACTTAAAGTAGAGAGTGTTTTCACTCCCTGAATGAGCGTCAATCATCTTTCCCATGGAAACGTGTTTCAGCCTGTGCCAGACAGAAATTTTTTTTTCAGTGGTCGGTGATTTAACAGCTTTTGTTAATTCCTCACAGTTAGTAAGAGTGGTTGATGGTCTACATTTAAGGTTTCAATTTTTAACCTGGATATTTTCCCTGCTACCAAATAGGTTTTATACAGATCATTATGAATCTCAGCTCAAACCAGACCTTTAATTCCCTCAGTCCAAGTGCATTTCAGTTAACATACTTAGATTTTTTTGGTCAAAGTTTGCGAAATTAAGGATTTGTTGACACCAAGTACTTTACCCCAGTTCAGCCATCAGATTACATGTGCCTATAGAAAGCCTGCAACACTGAAGAATCAGATGCAATAATGAGGAACAAACAATCGGATCCCTCACTTGTATGAGCCTTCCCCTTCCAGCACATGTGGAGTTTAGTTAAAGATTGACATATCCCCATTTCAATAAAATGGAGGAGCATGCAACACCCGCAGATAAGGAGTTGAGTAAACATTCCTTGCCATATATCACAACACAAAGCAAAGGAAATAAGCCCTTAATCAGTCATTATCCAACACCTTGGCTCCTGCCACACCTATTTAGATGATCTGTCATTTCCTCCTGGGGAAAAGGGATGAGATTCAAAAGGACAGTTCATAGAGAAACACATAATTCCTAGTGAGAAAGTGACAATGAAGCACAAGCTAGTGCCAACCAAACAAAAAGTACAATGTTTCCCTGACTAGAGATCATATTAGCTATTCAGCACAGAATCAAAAGATGACCTTTGTATTGTAAAGCCAGACTGCCACAACATCAAACAAAATGGCAAGCAAAATACCACTTGCATATGATGAGGGTTATTATTTAGAAGAAAACTGCTCAGAAATCTATCTATATAGACATATTCATACATACATATTATATAAAATATTTTATTAATATACACTTTATACATATTAGCTCTCCCAGTTGCCTTGTGGGGAAAAAACTCCCTCCTGATGCAACAGACTTGCTAAAACATATTCAAGCTCATCACATTGCGGATAGCTATCACCGCTCCGGGAGAGGTCTGAGGATGTTCAGATGGTCATTAAGAGTTTTGTCGAGTATACACTAGTGGCACAATTTTTAATTGCTATTTATATTTTGAGAGTATGTAGATGTCCTGACCAAGACAAGGCATTGCTGTCCCAGGGATTATGTCATATATACAGATCAAAAGAGAACACTCTGAAAGCATTTCTAAAGCTTTATACATTTATAACATTTACAAACTCCAGTTTGTAAATAAAGAGCTGGTATAGAGAGAGATAACGCAACTCAACAATAGTTCTCCTATTTTCAATGTTAGGCAACCCAAAAAGACTATTTTAACTAGCCAGTGTTGGATAATTTTAGCCTCTGTACAGTAAAAAATGCTAAAGCTTCTAAAGGTGCAGTTCCCAGCACAAGTTATATATACATACACACACAAAAAAGAGGGGAATAAAAAAGCAAATGGTCTTTTTTTTTAATCCACCCGTTTCTGCCTCATTTTCCCACAGTCACATAAACCTATCTAACATGAATGGATTGGTCAAATATCCTATGTGTATCTTTTCCAATGACACAGCTATAGCAGCAAATATTGGCATATATTGGAGGTCCAGATATTTGGACCTCAACTCCTGTGCCCCTAAAGCCCTTCAGTCTAAAAACAAGTGGGAAAGAATAGTTAAAAAATACTCAAGAAAACGCATAAGGTGAGAAATGGAACAAGAAAGCTTTGTTAATTGCACAAATTTTAGTTGATAGGGCTACTTTGCATGGAACCAAAAAATAATTGGGAAAATATGGGTTTAGATTATCTGTCTTACCGCAAAATTTGGGGTTTGTAGGATCATGGTAGAGATGAGCTGTAAATTGGGATTTGAAAGAGGATGAGCAAGGATTTTTTCAGGTTTGCTGAAGTGTTTCTCACACTACAGAAGAAAGGAAGGACTAAGTCTTTTTGGGAGAAGCTGGTAGTTGAGGAATGAAGCTAAGGCATGACTACGACACAGAGGCTGGAGTCAATATTGAGCCGATCTGGTTTATCCAGCCTGCAGTTGGGAACAGAGTTAGAAAACAAAAGAATTTGCTGAATTATGTCAGAATTATGTACACTAACGGACTAAAGAGGCAGCCCAAAGCAACAAGGAAAGAAGGGGAATTCAGAGGCAATATGATCCATAGGAAAATAATAATTGTCAGACCAGTATAATGAAGGCTGCCATTCCCTGAACTGAACAGAGTAGTTCAGGGTTCAGGGTTCATCTACGTGGATGAAGAACCAGATATTAGTGATGCTGTGTCAGAAAGTTAATGTTATTTGGAAATGAATGCTAGGTCCAAGATAAGGACTTATTGAAAAATAAAGCCTGTTCATGGGCTTCTGCATCTGGAAGAATAAAGCCTGTTATTTTAAGCTAAGGTATCCAAGGCAGAATCCAATAGCAAGTATGCACACACACAAAAAAAGTAAAAATTAAAGGAGCCATCTAAATGAAACTTAATTGCAGCCCAGGGAAAAAGTGACATTTTAAAATGCGAGTGTTGTCTTTCAAATAAAATTTCAGTTGCTCTGCAAAGAGAATTTAATTAAATCTTATGAAATGCTTCACAGGTAAATCAGTTTATTATACCCATGAGAGATCTACTGTTCCATTTATAAAAAATTAAAAGCCAATGCACTTTCCCTCATTTAGGAGGATCCTGTAGATGAACATTGAGACTTCCTACTTACACATTTACTGTGTTTTTCATTTTAAAGTCAAGATTTACAATGAGAAACATATCTGTTGAATACGTAAAATTAAGTTCATGACCTTTAAAAGATCTTGAATAACAGACATGAACTAAAAAGCTTTGCTACAAATCAGCAAGTCCATTTGAATAATTCATTCCAAAATATTGAATTCTTTCAGAAAAACTTATTAAAAAGGTTGCCTTTCTTGTAAGCAAAAAAAACCCCATAACACACAGTATGATAAAACTGGACAAGATTTTCTCATTTGGACTCACATAAAATTGATTTTGATCATCAAAATGAGAAAAGGAAAAGTAAGAAATTAGAAGAGATTACTATAGCTTCAATTCAACTAGTATGAAAAACATTAAAAATATTGATCTCTGCATCAGAGACATGCTTTTTTTGTACTGGCATATTGAAACACATATCTGATGAGGTTTAATCAACCATCACTCTCTAGAATTTTCAGGTACATGCTATAAGCTTAACTATAAATTCAGTCATTCTGCTGCGAGAAGCCTAAACTTAATTTACTTGCAGGAAGAAAAAGAAATAAAAATAATCAAATAAAAAACCTCCCCAAAAAAACTCCAAACCAAGACTTCTCATTTTATTCCTAAAAGGAGACACAAACACATAGACACAT